GTTCAGTTTGATCATTTTGCAAACATTATGAGAACATTACTTTTGAATGTTCTCTGCACAATCTGAAACAAGATAACTTTAAACAACATTCTGCTAATGTTACTGGTAGACGTGTTCATAACTTTATATAAACATGAAATCATGAAACCTGAGGAGATTTGCTATTTTTATTTTTAAGACTTACTGTACAATTTGTGCCTGGTGGACATCCACACTTTAAAAAATGCTGGGTTAAAAACAACCCAGTGCTGGGTAAAATATGGACAAACCCAGCAACTGGGTTGTTTTGACCCAGCGGTTAGGTTGCTACCCAGAAGGTTTGGTTAAACATTTAACCCAACCGTTGGGTCAAAACAACCCAATTGCTGGGTTTGTCCATAGTTCACCCAGCACTGGGTTGTATTTAACCCAGCATTTTTTTAGAGTGGTGTACGTAGCACTTTTTTTTTGTATTTTATAGTGATATTATGCAAAATTGTGCATCTCTACAAACAAGCACAGAAAACCTGTCACCTTTTTTTAATCAGAAAAATCACAATTCGATTTTCCCCAAATTGTGCAGCCCGCGCATATATCCAAAAAAAAAAAAAGTTCTATCACTTGTCGTGGTTTGTGAGGGCAAAGTTTACATGGAAAAGTTTTCTTTTATCCTACTGAACTTTTTTTAATTGTTGCTTTTTTGCTTCACAACTGATTAGATAGGAATGTCATTGAAAATGAACAATTATAATTGATAATTGCACACTCTAAACTTCTTGGCAATTGAATCACCATTGGCTAGTAAATTGTTTTGTTTACTCGCCAGACTGAAATACTATACTTTATATATATATATATATGACCCCCCCCCCCAACATATTTCCAGTGCGTTTATAAGAAGTAACAACTTTTTGGATCAAAGTATACTCTATGTTTTGCATGGTACTGTAGTACATACCATTATCCTGTTAATGGTCTCCATAGCTTTTCAACACTTTGCCCTTAATCTGAAGAATGAGGTGTGATTTCAAGCAGTTGTAGACCACATGGCATCATTTAGACACACAATTTAGAGTGTATGTGCCCTGCGTGATTTCCTGTTTGCTTGTGGAATAACTAGTTGAGACCGTAAAATGTGTTGTGTGTACATTTTTATCAGTTCTAGATCAGGAACATACTGATAAGCACACCTAGCTTCATTAAGAGAAACATTCAATCACTCTTGTCTAAAACATGGGAATATCATTGCTCATTTATTAGTGGTGAGTAGTGAGTAGGTTGATTTTACAATACACTTTGTGATCATGGTTACCAGGCATAGTCTATGCAAACATGATGTCCAGGAGGATATAAACAAAATGTTCTGTTCACTTCAGCTAGATTGTATATATACAGTACCTGAGCCAGTAGAAACATTCTCAGATTGTACAGTGACTAACCTTTGACTTGCTTCAATATTGTGTATTTTTTTCTCATATTGAGGTCAGCAGTGTCATATATGATCATTAGTGGTGCATGTGATATATTGTTTTAAGGTAATTTACTGCACACTCTGTGCAAAGTTCATCATACATTTTTCTTGGTACTTGAAGTAAATGAGCTATTAACGGACATAAAGAGCTGTTTTACCTTTAGTTCAAGAGTAATGGTCAGTAAAGGAATGCCTAATCTTTTACAGTGTGTTTAGGCAAAGCTGAAACTCTGAAGTAAAATGCTTTTGATCATATTGTATCGTCTTTGCATTTTGGTTTTTGTTGCTACTTAAAGCGTTTTAATTTCTCCTTCTGTCATTATCAGTAAGACACATATGCAGTGAGTGTTACATGGCAGCAGGCAGCAGCTGAGGTCTCATGTCATCAGTCTTGGCCCATATGGCCTCGCGTGTCAGCGTTCATTAAGGTGAAGAGTTGTAATGAAAGATAGGGAGGAATCAAGCATTGAGTGTCTTAAGCCCTATTCGCACGGGATTAGTATTACCTGGTGACCTCCAGTCATTTGTAATAATTGCGGAGGTTGTCTGTGATCTTAATCCCGTGCGAATCGGCCATGTCTGTAATTTGTAAAGTAAAAATTCCCCCGCAAATGACCTACCATATTTCGCCGAACACCCAGGTCCTGTGATAATATTAGTCCCGTGCGAATCGACATCTCTGTGATTCGGCCAGCATTTGGCGGGTCGCATATCATTTTTCGAGGTTTTTGTTTGCTGTGCGCCTTTTTATCCATCTTTCGCGAAGAATGGAGCTGCGTTGGAGTGTTTGATACTATTTTGGGTGCTGTCATCATACCATACAATTTGCAGAAAGAGAAAGCTGAACAGGTTTTGAGGTTAATGTGTTACAAATAAATCAAGCATAAAGCTTGAGATATTATTTTAACCTGGTGAAATGTAAATGACACAGCGCACGAAAATATATTAATTTATTTATTTTTTTTAATCCATCTGGACCATAGAACGGGACTCTCAAAGCCTTGACATCCGGGTATCCGGGAGACAAGTCAGTAAATTCGAGTAAAATCACAGGCTTCGCTTATCCCGTGCGAATGCACCACGCGAAATTCAGATGTGGGGGGGTAATTTCAAAATTACACAAGGTCTCCAGATAGTACTAATCTCGTGCGAATAGGGCTTTAGGCTTACGGTCAGAATCAGATACTCTCTTTACAGGATTAACTTGTGCTACACATCCCCCTTTCTTATAGATCTCCCACACAACACACACACACACACACACATTCTTTGTGTTTCTATTAGTTTATTACTGCTTGTTTGGTTTAGTCAAGTACTTAGACATGTCCATTCAGCACACAATCGTATAACACTGTGTTCTAACTAGGTGTGATGAACAAGTTTCTAGTGACAAGCAATTTGTCTGACCACACTAAGCACGAAACGGCTTTGTGATGTAATACAATCACATTCAGAAGATGCGTTTTAATGTTAGGGATGTGCAAAACCAACTAGTTTGTGGTTTGCTTAAAAAACTAGTTGACTAACCTCTCTTAAGGAAACGCTGTATAATTTGGCCGTCTTCCCATACTTGTAATCAGAAGCGGTTAAAAACCGGCTGCTGTCAACAAAAGAAAAGGGTTTTCTTTAGCATTTTTCTGCCAGAATAAAAGATTGATGGTTTAGAGTTTGAAAATGAAGAATTTAAGACTAATATTGAACAAATTAACAGTAACATTTATGTAAAATATTAAGACTACATAAATATTAGTACTCTAAAAAATGCTGGGTTAAAAACAACCCAGTGCTGGGTAAAATATGGACAAACCCAGCAACTGGGTTGTTTTGACCCAGCGGTTAGGTTGCTACCCAGAAGGTTTGGTTAAACATTTAACCCAACCGTTGGGTCAAAACAACCCAATTGCTGGGTTTGTCCATAGTTCACCCAGCACTGGGTTGTATTTAACCCAGCATTTTTTTAGAGTGGTGTACGTAGCACTTTTTTTTTGTATTTTATAGTGATATTATGCAAAATTGTGCATCTCTACAAACAAGCACAGAAAACCTGTCACCTTTTTTTAATCAGAAAAATCACAATTCGATTTTCCCCAAATTGTGCAGCCCGCGCATATATCCAAAAAAAAAAAAAGTTCTATCACTTGTCGTGGTTTGTGAGGGCAAAGTTTACATGGAAAAGTTTTCTTTTATCCTACTGAACTTTTTTTAATTGTTGCTTTTTTGCTTCACAACTGATTAGATAGGAATGTCATTGAAAATGAACAATTATAATTGATAATTGCACACTCTAAACTTCTTGGCAATTGAATCACCATTGGCTAGTAAATTGTTTTGTTTACTCGCCAGACTGAAATACTATACTTTATATATATATATATATATATATATATATATATAAAACTATGAACTTAGGACTGGTGCTT